GGAGCAAGAGCCGGCCCCGCAGCCGGAGCCGCAGTCCGGACCGCAGCCGGGCCAAGAGCCGGGGGCGGAGCAAGAGCCGGCCCCGCAGCCAGAGCCGCAGTCCAGATCGGTGCCGGGCCAAGAGCCGGGGGCGAAGCAAGAGTCGGCCCCGCAACAGGTCTTCATCCAGGTCCAGATCGAGGTCCAGGTCCACAGGGCGGAGCAGAGGACGCAGCTACAGCAAAGCAGCGAGCCGCGGTCTCAGCAAGAGCCGGCACAGGAGTCGCAGTCGCAGCATGAGCAGCAGCTCGAGCTCGAGCAGTGGAGACGATGGCAGCGAGAAATCCAGAAAAGGGTTCAAAGAGCTGGAGACGGCTCGCCGCAGGAAGGAGCTGGAGGAGATGCTGAGTCTGCCAACCAAATCCATCCTGAAGAAACGCATCGACTCGGAGGACTCGCCTTCGCTCAGGGTAGGACGCCGACAACCGGCCGACAGAAGGCTGCTGCTTTCTTCAACAAAAATAAATACAAATACAAATACAAATACCTTTATTCAACAATATAAAATGTTCTTCAATATGTTCAGTAATTTAACAGAAACATTCAGTCATCAGAACTGTAATCTTTTATATACCGGAAAGAAACTGCTTTCGTATCAGACGACAGATACGCTGATACCAATATATCTGTGATCAATATCACAGGCAGATATATCGGTCAGGCTCTGATTTCAGTTACTAATTCTGATATTCATTGATTCCTGAAAAGAAACAAAACAACCAATTATTGTTGGTATTGCTGAGTCAGTTATTTATCAGATTAATAAGTTAATCAATAAATGTACGGTTTAGTTTATGAGTTCTCGTTTTGTCCAGAAATCAAACGTATTCAGTTCAGAACGACAGAAATCATCTGAACTCGCACTGTGATTGTAGTAAAAGTTAATTGTTTGTATATTCATCTGCATGTAAACTGATCAATAATCAGCTCATTGATCGGCTGATGATATGGACGTATTGTGTATCCCTCGTTTAAAATAAAGCCAGTTAAAGCAGGAGCGTCGGTAGGATCTGTGCTACAGAGGCGTCACTCTGTCTGTTTCTCTGTGTTTCAGAGCTCAGACTCTCCCAGAGGTCTGGAAGCCTCCAACATCTGTCGGGTAGCTGACCAGCTGCTGCTGGCTGTTAAAGGCATGGAGCCCCACAGGGTCGCCTCCATGCTGGCAGAGCTGCGCTCCGATCCACGCATGGCTCAACGCGCCGGTCTGGACGCCGAGATCAAAGAGATCCTCAACCTGCTGGGGGCTCAGGCGGCGGGGGTCGAGGCTCAGGAGAAGGCCGCGGACGACATCGACGACGAGGAGAAGTTCCTGTACGGAGACTCGGAGGAGCCTAAACCTCCGCCGGCGTCCGAGCCGGTCCGACACCACGGGCTGGATCTGTACGGAGACGTGACGGAGGAGGCGCTGTACGGAGACTACCCCCCGCAGAAACCCGTCACCACTCAGATGTACGGCCTTCCACCGGAGGCCTCTTCTCACCTTCAGGTCCCTCCCACCATCGGGGAGGTGGACGTGAGGTACGCAAGCCGGCCCGCCATCAGCCCCGACCGGAACATCACAGTCCAGGTGTCGAACCCTGCCTACCCACCGGGGATGGAGCCACTGGAGGAGAGCGAGCGGCAGGCGCTTGAGGAGTACGAGAAGATCCAGGACCTGCTGAAGACCATCGGCCTGGACTTGGGTGTGGCCGACATCAGCAAGATGGCCGCCAGGACCAAAGAGAGGCTCCACGGGAACAAGCCTCCCCCGAAGACGCCCACACGCCGCAGACGTTACTCCTCCGGCAGTTCGGACGGCAGCCGTCGCAGCCAGGGCCGCAGGAGGCGGAGCCACAGCAGCAGCTCCAGCAGCAGCAGCAGTGGGAGTCGCAGCCGTGGGCGGGGGGGCAGCTGCAGCAGCGACGACAGCCACAGGAAGAGCTCGGCTGCGCCCACAACTCACAGAGACGTGAAAGAGCCGAAGGTCGAGCGGAGCGACGCAGCACCCACGCCGCCCCCGCAAAAGCTTCCCGACCCCAAAACTCTCCCCCCTCCTCACCCTGGGGCACCCATACCCAACTACCCCCCCCCACAGGTCCACGGAATGATGCCCCCTAACTTTCCCCCGCCGCACTACGGCCAGTACGGGAACTATCTTCCCTACATGCACCAGCAGTGGCCGCCCATGTACCCGCCCCCCAACATGACACTGCCCCCCCAGACCCACCCCGACGAGTTCCCCCCCACTCTGCCCTATAAACAGGCCTTGAACAGAGTGGCCACTGAGCCGGGGGCCAAAGGTCAGTGTGATCAGAGATTATTAAGGAATATTCCAGCTCTTATAAGCTTCTGTTAAATAATGAGCAGCACATGTGAGAAGAACTCTTCTAGTTATGACTCTGAGTTTTCTAAAGATGGCCATCTGATACGATTCTTCTGATTATACGATGTTTGTTTGGATGCAGTTGGGTCAGTAAATATCCGTCCTGCTACTTGTTGTGTCCTCAGCTTTGGTGAAGAGTTGTGTTCAGGACGCTGAGAAGGGAAAAGTCAGCAGCCACGACAGGAGAGTGTCTGAGGAGCAGAACAACGAGAGCCAGAAACAAAAGGTCTGACCTTCATTTGTCACCTTTGGTCAGGAATTCAACAGCGATTCACACCGATAACGACTGCAGGTAGAACAGGTGCCCTCAGGTGAGCTGAACCTGACTGTCTGCTTGTTCTGCTGAGTTCAGGTTCTGGAGGAGAGAGAGAAGCTGAAGCAGGAGAGAGAGACCAGGATGAAGAAAAAAGAATATCTAATGAAGGAGCTGGAGAGACTCAGGAAGCAACAAGGTGAGTTCACACAGAGACGCCACGTTGCTCGAGCCTCGTTCGCACTAGATCACAAGATTTTTCACAAGGAGTAAGTTACTTATATATGAATCAAATTGACAGTACAGATCTTTAACCTGTGTCTACAGCACTGACCTATGCCCTGTATCTACAGCTCTGCCCTGTATCTACAGCACTGGCCACCGCCCTGTATCTGCAGCACTGCCCTATGCCCTGTTAAATATCTGCTCACACACATGATGCAGTGAATTAATTATTTTCAGGCGAGCTCCTGAGGAAGAAGCGGCGGGAGAAGGGGGGCCACAAAGACCCTCTGCTGCAGGAGATCAGCCACTTGCAGGAGGAGGTCATGACTCAGATCTCCAACCTGCGCAAAGAGCACGAGGCTGCCGAGAAGAAACGCAGTGAGATCGACAAGGTGGCGCTCATCCTTGGTCTGAGCCCTTCCGACCGGCCCCGCGGGACCAGTAGGCCGGCCGAGGTCCAGGAGGCCGAACCGCCGCTGCCAGAGAAGAAACGGGAGGCAGAGAGAAGTCCTGAGCGACGGCAGGCAGCCAGCAACTCCATGATAAAGGTACAAACACCTGCAGAGGAGGTAAAACTGGAAGTATTACTGAAAGATCATAGCTAGGGCTCAGGACTTTTATTGATCTAAAAACTGAAGTTCTCAGTAACATGTACGTGGAATACTGTAAACATAACTCACTTCATATTTCTCTCGGATATAATTTCTGATGAAAACAGAAGATTAAATGTATCTTGTAATTTTACTTGTTAGTTTATGTTTTTTGCCGCCTTGTCGGCTCAGGATAATTACCTGTATTGTAATGTGTCAACTGGTAAATTCACAAGAATGTACTGTAATGTTTCCACTAATGCATTCCTTTCACATTAAAAGCCTCACTGAAAGGCTGTTAATGTGAAACATCTGTGCAGGAAGTGACCCGGCCTCTATTTGAGACCTTTCTGTGGCTCATTCTCTGCATCAGACTTTCAATGTTTTTATTTTTTTCTACTGAAAGTTTGGATTTGAATCACAACTCGAGCCGATATCGGCCTGTTGCAGACGTATTGTTGTTATTCACAACATCTGTTATTCAGTATTTAATGCAGAAAACTGTTTGTGTTAACATTTTATATTGGTGTCAGTGCACAGTTTGTCCATCAGAGGGTGCTATGGTTTACAATACTGTGGCAGCAGCACAGAGAGAACAGAGAGAAGAAGCAGCTCTCAGCAATGAAACTAAAGTTGGTTGATATATTTATATTGAATTATTGGAGATGTTAAAGAAAATTTAAGTTAAATATTCTTTAATAAAGTTATTTGTTTAAGGAAGCAGCTTTCTGAGGACCTTTTGCAGAATCATATCGGTCCACAATCCACATAGAAAAGCTCTATTTTCATTCAAACATTCATTATATCAGCCGCCACATCGGTAATCGGTGAATAGAGAGTGTAAAGTCGGTATCGGTCGGGCTCCACCAACCACCTGACCTCTGTGCAACAAGAGCTTTTACCTGCAGATTAGTTAACATAAATGAGTGTTCAGCTCAGAGAGGAATCAGATGTCTTAAATCTAATAAATGTGAGCTTGAACTGAGATAGTTGTGTAATTAGAAGTTGAAGCTTGTCTCTTTTTACATTCCAGCTTCAGTAATAATGACAGAAAGTTTACTGGGAACTTTGTAAAGTTGTAAACTTTTAAATCTGAACGGTATCATCTGCGCTTTGTTAAAAGACACAAAACATACGTTTGTCTCTTCTGCGACTGATGGAACTTAAACTTTAAAGCGAGTTAGAAGTTACCGTTGGTGTAAAAGCGACTTTGGGATTCTCGTAAAATACTTGTTGATTAACGTCTCGGAGGCTGGAATTCAACGAAGGTAAGAAACTTTTCAATCTTCAGATTTTGTGGAGCTGAGTTTTAAAGATGAGACTGGAATGTTTTTGTCTGAGTGAATCCTTTACACTGCCGTCCGCCATGTTGACTCTCATCCATCTTTGTTTCTTAGCAGACCTCAGTGGTGCCGCCGTCCTTGAGAGCGTCCCAGGACGATCCGCCCGTCAGCGCCCCGGCTCCGCCTCCGACCCCGCCTACAGACCCGTTTGAATACTATGATGCAGGAAACCACTGGTGCAAAACCTGTAACGTCACCTCTGGTTCCATGTTTGATTTTTTCACACACCTGCACAGCAAATCACATCGAAAGGTTTGTGACAGCTTTTGTCTTTTATTTTGAAAATATAGTGTGTTTTTGCTTTGGAGGGAGGTTTGATATTCACACCTGTACAGTCCTTATGTGTTTGTTCCTTTAGATTGAATTCTTTGTTTTTTTCCCACAGACTCTGGACCCGTATGACCGGCCCTGGGCTTCCACTCCCACCAAAACCCCCAAGAACACGCCGTTAGAAGAGAAGCTGACAAAACCCGCCAAAGGTACTCGTACTGCACATTCATCATTTCTCTTAAAAGTCGTTAAGGCTGCTTTTTTCCTAATGACCCCGGTGTCCGAGTCCCTGAATGTTGTTAGCCGTCTTCTGCTTCCAGGTGGAGCTCAGTGTGGATCTCTGCTGCAGTTTCTGTCTCTTAATGAAAACAGTGCTAACGAAGTGACAAAGACTCATCGAAGCACAGAGGAGACTCCTGTCCACACCTCTGATGTCAATTCATTCCTTTGTCATATTTCATCCTCAAACAAAGGCGGCTGTAAATGTAACCTGCTGCAGTAACCTTTGGAAAAGTGCTTCAACTTCCCATCACAGCTGTGTTAGTCTGTCCTAATTGTACTCCGTTTCCTGTAGTCACCCTGATATCACTGAGCAGTTAGCACTCTTCCCCTAGTCACTGCTCTGAAATAAGACCACTGATCTATACACCATCTACTTGTTCAATCTTTTATTATGAAATGTTCCCTCTTCTGGCCTGACAGGTTCTGGAAATGGACATGTCCATCAGGTAAACATGATTGACAGTTGATTTTATCTCCAGCTGTGGGTTTAAAATGTGCTGCGTGTGTTTTTGCTGCAGGTTCAGAGTTCTTGCTGCCTGTCAGAGGATTCTTCTGCTTGCTGTGTAAAGAGTTTTATGGAGATGCCATCTGTGCAGAAGAGCACGTCACCACACACACTCACAATGAGAAATACAAGGTATTTAACTGTGGGAGTGGAGAATCACCACATACGCACAAACAGAGATAGTGGAGAAGCTGCCAGACAACCTTTTATTGTAAAACAGGGAAACTGTGGCCAATAAAGTCCTCTTGTAGCTTTACAGGCCTTTTCCTCTACAGGAACTTATTGAAATGTTATTGATCATTTATCCGTTGGCTTAAAGAAACAGTGGACACAGATTTCATGGAGAGACAATGTTATTTGGTAGAAAGTGGACAATTAAAGGTCTGTGGATTACGCTGCTTGCATGTCATGAATGGATGGTAGAGATGGGAAATATTGTACTATATCCATTAACTCTGATTCTTTGGTTTTCTGGCACTCATAAGAAAAAAGATCACTTTATTGTTACAAATATGGTGGAGGAACAAAAGGACAAACTGGGATGCTTTTAAGGCTTACTTTAGTGAATGATAATGTCATTCTTAGCCGAGCACAAAACTAAAAAATCTTTACAAGAGTTGTAAGGTACATTGTCCAAACTTAAACAAGATTACAAAGAGGGTCAGTCATTTATTTAATAGCACATAAGGGGCCAGACTAAGAACAATTCATGGACCCTGTGTGAATTGGCCAGGCCCCCCTCATGAAGCCAGACCTGGGAGGGAAACTTGTGGGCGAGCGCCTGTTGGCCGGTTCTTGACCCATGGAGCTAGAACCACAAAAGAACCACATGAAGCCGCTGCCTTCTGGGTCCACATCCTGCATAGACAGGGATCGGGGTTGGGAAAAAGCAGGGAGAAATTTCTTCTGATCCACGTTCTGATGCAACCGATTGTTGCCAATTCAAATATGACAGAATCGTTACCATGTAAGAATTAGATCAGATAGAGAAAGAAATTCTGAATTCCCACATGACATGAAAGCAGCATTATCCAACGTAGATTGGATTGATTTTCATTGAAATCATTCCAGTACCTGGCAGGTTCTGGTTGAAATTAGGAGTATTAAGTGCATGTGAATGTTCCAGTTGGATCCGATGAGGTTCATACCACATACAGGACATGTTTTAGTTACTCTATCACATTTGATGTTCTGGTTACAAGATTGGAAGTGTTTGTATGTTAGGCAGAAGTTCTTGATGTATTTCACTCATCTTGTCTTTCTGTTTCTATGCTTCCTTTACCAGAAACAAATGTACGAGAATCCCTTGTATGAACAGAGGAGGAACCTGGACCGACAGGCAGGACTGGCCTCAGAGACAAGTGGAAAGAAACGGAAACATGAGGACGACGAGAAAGGAAACAAAGACAAGGAGGAAAAGTCCAAACCCAAAAAGGAGAAAAGGGACAAGGAGAAAAAGAAGGAAGAGGATGACACTGTTCAAAAGGAGGAGAAATCTAAAGTTAAAAAGGAGGAGGAGAAGCTGAAGCTAAGCAAAAAAGAGGAGGATTTTAAAGATGCCAAAAGCCTGGAAGAAGAGCGGCCTTCCTATAGCAAGAAAGATGAGGATGAAAAGTCTAAATACACCAAGAAGGATGATAAATACCGGGTCAGCAGAGAGGAAGAGGAGAGGGGTAAATACAGCCGAAGAGACGAGGATGACAAATACAAATATAGTAGAGAAGAAGAATATCGGTACCGCTATCGCAGAGATGAAGACGACAAATATGGTGATCGTCCCAAATATGGGCTGAGAGAAGACGAGGACAAGTATAAATATGGTAAATATTCAGATTTCAGGCCCAAATATGACCGAGAGAGAGAAGAAGGGAAACCTAATGCTGAGAAGGAAGCTTTTAAAAAGCTTGAGCCGGGAAAACCAGCAGGAAAACCAGCCGGGAAACCAGAAGTCAACAAGCCAGAACCTCCGCCAAAGCCCTACGACCCGCCCAAAATCTTCTCTGGACCCAGTCCAGCCATGAGGGCAAAGCTCCGCAAGCAAAGCCTTGAAGCCGGCAAACCAGCACCGGTGACCCCGACCCCTTCATTCGGAAAGTTCATGTGGAAAAAGAGGGAGAACATTCTGGCAAAGGAGGCAGAGAAAGTGGCCGCCGAGTTCATCAAGGAAGACGAAGCGGCTGCGAAACAGAATCCAGTCTTGGTGGAGGACTGTTTTGCAAGATCCATGGCTGTTGCTAAGGAGATCGCCCAGAAGCTGGGGGACCAGCCAAGCCAGGTTCCTCCCTGGGTATCCAACAGCGCCAACCGGGGAAGGATCCGACCCAACCTCCCTGCACCCGCTGCAGTCCTGAGGAAAACAGCCATGATGGGTAAACCTGCACCTCTGAACACCTTCCTCTCTATCAGACCCCAAAACACTAGTTTACAAGGGTATCCAAAAGATGAACCACCAGTTGGTAGACCTGGGCCATTCGAAGTTATGACTGCACCGGGGGTTGCTAGACAAGAGCCATTTGAGGTTAATTCTGCGCCACCAGTTTCTAAACCAGCAGTGTTTGAGGTTAATTCTGCGCCACCAGTTTCTAAACCAGCAGTGTTTGAGGGAAAGCCTGCGCCACCAGTTTCTAAACCAGTATCGTTTGAGGTTAATTCTGTGCCACCAGTTTCTAAACCAGCATCGTTTGAGGTTAATTCTGCACCACCAGTTTCTAAAGCTGCGCCATTTGAGGTAAAACCTGAAACTACCCCTGCTCCATCTGTGGTTAAACCTGCACAACCAACAATGATAAAGATAGTATCTGATGTCGCAGCTCCCGGCGTCCCAGAAAGTGAGCAAACTCGTACTGTATTTGTCAAGCCGCCTCCTTTCATGACTAAGAGCAACGGAGCTCAGAAGTCTGAGAAACTGAAGAGTAACCTGGCTGCAGCCAAAGCCCAGGACTTATTTGACATCTTCTACAGCAGCGCTGGCCAATCAGGCTCCTCCTCCATCATCAAACCAGCAACAGACACTGGAAGTGACAGGAGTAGCACCAATAAAAGTCAACTTCCTACCCCCCAAGCACAAAAACAGCAACCTCAGCCTCTTACCCAGTCCCAACCTCCAACTGTGGTCTGTTTGTCTCCCCAAACAGACTCAAACAGTTCCCCAAGTCCCCAAAACCAGCCAGAATCAGACATTCAGATTGCATCCGTTTGGTCTTTGCAGTCTACCCCAAATCCAACACCTGAGGTGGCTCCATCCAAAACTGCACAAACATCACAACCAAAACCAAATCCACCAGTCCAGTCTGAGGCTCAGAGTCTACCCCAAAACCAATCCTCAGCTCCTAAATCTGAGTCCCAACTCACCCCACCAACTGAGCCTGCTGAGCCGCAACCAAAACCTCAAACTCTGTCCCAGCCCAAACTGACTCCTCAAATCCAAACAGAGCCACAATCTCAATCCCAACCAGACCAGGACACCCAGCCCCCATCCCATCCAGGGACCCATCCTGATGCAGCTCTAGAACCTGAACCCAAACCAAGCCCCAAAGCTAGAGGCAAGGCAGCAAAGAGAGCCCCCTCTGCCCCCCGCCCTGTCCGACAAACTAGATATCAGACCCGGCGGCAGCAGCAGACCCAGTCCGAGCCAGAGCCTGAGCCGGCTTCAGAAGATTCTGACTCTGCAGCTTCAGACCTAAAAGGGCTGGACACATCAGATCCCGGCTCTGGGTTGCATCCGGAGGAGGGGGCACCCAGCGAGGGGGACCCTCAGATGATGGAGAACCTGGGCCTCCCCTCCGACATGACCTCTCTGGACTTTGACTACAATTTTAACTTTGAGTAGTTGTTGACCGGACTGTGTGACGAGAATCTGGGCAGGGGGTTCTTTAAAACCTCTCATACGTCCAGTTTGATCAGAAGATCGTCAGTCACAGTCTTTGATCAATAAATTACTGGACTTGAAGGCAGCTGTAAGTGGCGAGAAAGACACTCGCGCTGATGGACTTAAGACTGACCTTCATCTGTTTAAAGGACCAGTTTAACGTGAAACCATCTTGTTCTCCTTCTCCAGAGTCTGATGTTTCAGATATGGGCTTCATTCCTGTGTATCCAGTGCAGAGTTACTGTTACTGATCACAAAAATCCTCTAAAAACCAACAATGACTTTGAGTATTTAGTAAAAGGGTTATACCTTTGTGTCATAGTCCTCCATTGTTAACCAGATGCTACTTGTCAGTAGGATACATTCAGTGTTTGAGTCTGCACATGGGATCTGATGTTAAACAGCCACATCTTTTTCTAGTCTTTGGACGACAACGGGGCTCTGTGGTGCAGAGTTATAAGCTACTTCATGTGTGGCCATAAGATCTGGGTCTGGTTTTCATGGTTTAGGAGAGGCCCCTTAGTTCAGTGGCTCCCAATCTGGGGTCCCACAAGGGGTTACAAGTTTATTTTAAGAGGTTGTAATGGTGTGTTCCCACCAAACGCAACGCAAATTGTCGCCTTGTGTTACTCGCGGGATCGTTTGTATTTACACACACGAGTAAATATTCTCCCTTTAATTCGTCTTACTGCGGCCAGCAGACAGGTTGGGAAGAGAGAGTGAAGATAAATGTAATCCCCACAGTTTGAGTCATAAACAGTGTAAACAGATCAGATCAGGATCTGGTGGGACTCTGGCTGTTTATGGGCTCTCTCCTGCAGAGCTCCCCGTGCTCCAGCAGCTGTCTGTGGGCAGCAGCAGCTCCGTCTCTAAGTTAATATTCTTCACTTGAATGGGGCAAATGTTGCGTGTGCTCCCCATTCGTGTCTGTGCATTGACTCTGTTTTTGTAATCTACTCTATTAATTTGATTTGCGTTTGGTGGGAACACACCATAAAGCAATTAACAAAACTTTATTTTCTTATTTCAGACGATCCTCTAATGAATAACTGGATAATATTTCCTCTTCTTGCCTCTAAAATGAGTAAAATAATCAGCGTCTGCTAGCAGCCCACTGACATACAGAATCACTGCCTCATTTTAAGGAGGTAAAAAAAGGTTGAAAATCTTCTGCTGTCCACATACTTTTGGTCACGTAGCGTATCTCAGACTCTACAGACAATACTTGTTAGCGGGATGAATCCATCGTTGTGATATCCACCTTCTCATTGGACTGTGTGGAAGACGGCAGTAGAGAGTTCCTAAAATGTCAAACTGTTCCTTTAAAGACGTTCTTCTTTTCTACTGGAGTTCAGACTCACAGGTCAGTCAGTGTTTCCTCTCTGATGGATGACGAGGTGTTTTTCACTCTACAGCTGGTGAAATCAAAGCGGCAGCACGCACCAAAATCAGCTCTGTTTCGTTTGAAAGCTGCAGTTCACTCGTTCACTGAAGGTCCAGGAGCTGATTGTGTGAAAGAGCGTCAGGTTTTTGTCCTGCATTGTGTTTGAAACACTGATCCGTGGTCAGTGTCACTGTGTGTCAATAGAAACAAACTGTCTTGTAAAGTGAGTCTTAATAAAGGTTAGTGAGGAAACAAACAGCTCCTGTGTGCTGTGATACTTCCACACAGAAGTCACTGCAGGGTTA